TTCGAAAATTGTGAAATTGTATTACTATTTTTTTGTTTTTTAATAGTTTACTAGAAATAAAAAAGTGTCTTGTACATAAATGATGTAATAATATGTACATCAGACACTCGATGTAACTGCATACTTCGCGTTAATATAAATTCAATTAAATAAAAAATGTGTATGTGTAATCTATCGATCAAATGTATATTTGATCTCAATATGGTTATGGTTATGGTGATATGCATAATTGCGTATGCATTTTGTAATACGACGTAAGGTGCAATATTGTTTTTTTTTTCCTTTTGAAAGCGGTGTTAATTAATTTTGAAATATTGTGAAATATTCACAATTGATTAAGTTTTTTATAATGTGTCTTGAATTATTTTCTATGTGTATTTGTAATTGTATTAATCAATTAATAATTTCGTATGAAATTGAAACATTTTTCTATTCATATATTTGCATATTAAAAAAAAAAGCATGAATCAGAGACATGCATTTTTTCATATTCATTTGTGTTTAAAATATAGAAAAACACATTTTCTAATGCATCGAGAATTCGATATTTTTTAATGTCCACCTTTTGGTCATTTAAAACTTCTTTTTTTTTTTAAATTGGAAATTTTTGGTCGGGGATTCTACATCGAATTTCATTTTTCCACACATGCCCTTTTCATCTAGTTTTTTGTTACAGAAGTGGAATACAAAAATAAGAAGACAGAAGACAAAGATTATTGGCAAGATCGATTCTAGTGTTTGTTGTTTGTGTTGTTGTAGTAGTGTGGTGGTGGGTTTTGTATCTGAATATATGAATGTATGAATGTAATGAATCTATTTGTGTGTGTGTGTGTGTGTGAACAATTTTCATTGATTTTTTTTTTTTATAAATCTTTCTACATTGTTTCTATTCACAGGTAGAAATATTGTTAATAGCATCTGAAGAGGATTAGTTTTAGATAGAATTATATATTAAATGATAAGATAATAAAATAAATGGTTGATTTATGATGTTATAATAAGATGAGTAATGCAAAAAGAATTTTTTTAAAATTATATTTTCAACTTATAAAAGAATAAAATATAAATTTAATAATCGTAAAAATATTCTGATCCAATGAGAAATTATAAAAGAATAAAATATTAATTAAATAATCATAAAAATATTTTGATCCAACGAGAAATTAAAATATTTTTATCAAGGTTTAAATAATATTAGGAATATTTTTTATAACATTACGAATTCTTATTATTATTAAAATAAWAGTCAATGCACTTTAGTGCACATAAATGCGCGCGTGCGTTCATATTGTAACCCTTGCGTGTTTATATTTTTGCGTTTGTTTAATAGGAACTTGCGTTTGCGTATTAGGAATTTGCGATTGTTTAATAGGAACTTGCGTTTATTTAATAGGAACTTGCATTTGTTTGATAGGAACTTGCGTTTGTTTGATAGGAACTTGCGTTTGTTTAATAGGAACTTGCGTTTGCATATTAGGAACTTGCGTTTGCGTATTAGGAACTTACGTTTTATATTATTTAAAGTTCCAACCGAATCTACGTCACAGTTTTGACATGTATGCGTTAATTTAGGATTGTAAATCGGGTAGGTAGGGTCGATTTAAAACGATGTACATGATTTTTCATCTAACTTTAAAGAATAAGTTGGATAAAAAATTTRGTGACACGTTTTACCGGTTGAATTTTAGAAATTTCTTTCTAACAAATGTCTAATGAAATGTACTAGTTAGAAAGATAATTATAAAAGTAGAGTCTTAGCCCGTGGGTCTCCGAACACAGCAACCTTCTCGCGGTGAGACCTGGGTCGATATTACTTGTGATCTATTCCAAATGTAATTGTAAATTATGTAACGCAAGTACTATCGGGCGAATGGCTGTGCTAGATTCAATTTAAATTCATTTACATGTTTAAATTATTATTAACTTTTTGTTGGTCCTTCTGACAATTCTAATTTTTTGTAAATTGCTTTAGATTTTTATCTAAATTCTTATCAAAAGTCGATATAACAATACTATTTTATCGATTATTGATACGAATATAGAACCTTATCAAGTGTCGATAAAATCTATATTATATTACCAAATTTGATTGAATATCATTATACTTTAGAATTAAATTGTTGCAGTAGCAATTGTGTGGTTGCATTTGATTATTATAAAATTATTTTTCAACATTATTTTTAATTAATTGATCAACGTTTTTTTTAGACGAAACTTTCCTGTTGTTATTTTTCAAATGAATTGCAACAATATGTGAAATATGTTTATGCATAAAAATTTGCTGACTAATGATAGATATCTCGAATAAGATTTGCCACAAAGTTTATCCATTATTTTTTATTCGGTAACAAAACTGGTAATCAAATTTGTAGATAAATACGTCAGATTTAAACGACGCTGGTGGTTCTATATGTAAGTAAGAACATATACGTATGTCTCGTCGATAAGAACCGATGAACGGAACGAACTTATAAAGTAAACTGATAAAGGCAACTATCGTTCAGTCTCGATCCGTGCGTTCTCGGTCATTGATGTTTGAACAATCATGCGTTTTTCTATACCATTTCATCTATCTTTAACTATTCTACAAGTTTTTTGATCAATATATCAATCGATAGAATATAAAATCGATTATTACTATTAAACGAGTTAACAAATTGAATAAAATAAGAGAATAAGTCTACGAGAAAAATAATAACGAACGAAATATCAAGGAAAATATTTAGGAGTGAAAGTTATTTCAGAGAAGCGAGAGCAAAGACCGCCATCTCTCAGGTGAATTATTTTATTGACTAGTGTTATATATGCATCCAATCCCCTTTCTCTCCGTCCCGTTGAACCTTCTGTCGCGCTAAATTTAAAAATAATCTCTCGGTATATAGGGTAAACCATTTGTATACTGCGTTGCAATATATATTTTGTTTCATTTCAATATATTCATATCCAATTACAATGCTGTAAATGAAATTAATCTAAGGATTACTTCATATCTTCTAGACGGTCCGGGTGGATCTATTATCTTTTTCAATTATAATAATCCAAGCGTTACGATCTAATCACGTAATATTTGCTATGATCTTTCTTTTGAACTATATCGTACGTGTTTGATATTATCAGAAATCATCGTTCTTTTCCTCCTCTTCCTTCTCTTTCTTCTTCTTCTTCTTCTTCTTCTTCTTCTTCTTCATTATCATTATTATGCATCCATCCTTATTTTCATCGTTTATCAATTCGCCTCAAGTATGCAATAAGTCAACTTACGTAATTCTTTCTTCGTGTATATCATTTTTCAGACGACAATTGAAAATAAAAAAAACCTTTTATAATGGAAAATTATACTTCGGATTCGAGTGATTCAGATGGTAACGCAAGAACCTTGGATTTGTCATATTTGATGCTTGACAGTGACGTATTGGATGAACATTTTGTCATGATGAAAAGTCCCGAACACGTGGATACTATTTTGGTTCATCAAAATCGTATTAACATTGTTCCACCCAGCATTATTCGATTTACCAATTTGAATACATTGGACATATCGAATTGTGGTTTAAATCGAATTCCGGATTTCCTTGGTGATTGTCCATTGACCTGTTTAATCGCTAGGAATAATAATTTATCTAACGATTCTTTGCCAAAAAGCTTCGACACTTTACCCGATCTGCGTGAACTCAATTTAAGTGGAAACAGACTAAGAGAATTTCCCGAACAAATTCTTGATCTTCACGAACTGAAGTATCTTTATCTCGGTGGTAATCATATAACAGAAATCAACAAGGATATATGGAAATTACAACGGTATCCTGATACAACTTTTTATTCTAAGAAATATCAAATAAAAAAAATAATATAAATGTGCAATATGATGAATTAATAAGATCATAATTATTGTTTATATTTTTTGACAGATTGCAAGTACTTTCAATAGGAGGTAACCAATTGACCGAAGTTCCCTCAACATTAGGTCAATTAAAATCATTACAAGCGTTGGTATTGTGCGATAATATGATAGAAAGCTTGCCGAGTTCAATAGCAAATCTAACGAATCTTAAATCACTTTTACTACACAAGAACAGATTAAAAACATTGCCTACGGAAATTATCACGCTGAGATGTTTGACTGAGGTTAAATACAAATCTAACCTAAATTATTATCGTACATTTATAAATATATACAGGGTGTCTTAGTTCGTATTTCCTTTATGATTCAAAGAATAGTCTAATATTTATTGTTTTTTTAATATCATTAGATAAATAATTAAATTTTTCGTTTTAAATGTATAAAGTTCGTCTTATCTCTTGTTAATAGTAAATACCTTCTTATGTATCATTGCTCGTATTGATACATAAGTATTTATGTATTACGTGTAGCATTCGTTTTATCGTGTTTTAGCTTTCTCTGAGAGACAATCCTCTTGTGGTCAGATTCGTATCAGACATGACGCACAATCCCCCCTCTTTATTGGAATTGGCGGCACGAGTTATTAAAATGAACGATATGCAATACGACGAAGAACACATTCCTAAAATTCTAGTGGAATACTTGAACAGTGGACACCGTTGTGTGAACCCTAAGTGTAAAGGTCAGCGATTGATTTTTTCTCGATTTTTCCAACATTACAAAGATCGTATGATTTTTTCGTCATACAGTATAATTATAATATATACAGGGTGTCATCTTATCTTATTAGAATACTTACTATTTTTACATTTTATATTCTCTCATTTTCTTTCTTTTGAGTACACCCAGTACACACGGGGGCATGTGCACTTTCTTTTAAACAGTAATATCAAATATTACATTTTTTTTTGTACAGGTGTATTTTTCAATAATCGCGTTGAACATGTCAAGTTCGTAGACTTTTGTGGAAAATATCGTTTACCTTTACTCCAATACCTCTGTAGCAGTAATTGCATTGAACCTCGTAACGGTGAAGAAGAAGTTGTTTGTGGAGCGATGATAAGGAAAGTATTGCTTGGCTGATGATTATTAGATAAATATAAATATAATAAATTGAACGAATTTTCAATGAATGAACGAATAATGGATGTGAAGAATAAGTTTTTTACCAATAAAAAATTTCAAGAGCAAAAATAAAGAGTCACATTTATTTATAAAATATCCAAAAGTATTAATAATTATTAGGAATAGGAGAAGTAAAATATGAACGATAAAAAGGGCTTAAAAAACTTGTAATGTAAAAAACCTGTATAAGATAGAACGTTTTAATAATAAACATTATTTTGTTTGTATATGTAATTAATCACGAAAAAAAAAATCAAGTACGAATTAAATAGCATCTTTGTCAACATTATTGTTAATATTTTATTGTTAAATAAACCACAAAAAATGTACAATAATAATAATAATAATAATGATAATAATAATAATAATAATAATAATAATAGTATATTATATATAGAGCTTTAGTATTAACGAAGGCGTATCGATTCTCGTTTAAACACATTCAGCAATATACTACAGATATGATATCGACTATATATAATTAATAATCATGTAAAACTAAAAACAGATAATAATAATTCATTACGTTGAATTTTAAACGGAGCGAAACGAACGGGGTATATTCTTTCTTATTCTTATATTGTTTTTTTTTTTAATTTTTATTTTTTTTTTATTATTATTCTTTTGTTTCTTTCTTCATTAGTTATTTTTATTTATAGTTTTATTTATATTTATAGAACATCGGTAATTATATAATAATTGTCGCCATAATATTAAACATAGTAATCGTAATAAGAGTTTTTATTTATTTCTTTGTTTTTGTTTTGTTTTATTTGCTTATTTAATCAATTTTTTCTTCTTTCTTTACTACTTTTATTTTTTCTTTTTTTTCGCATAGGTGTAATCATCATAGAGTTACCTATACATACATATACATATTCATATATATGCGCTTTTTTTTGTATTTATATATTACATACATATATATGTATGTACATGCTTTCCAGGCTTATTATTTCGCACCATCCTGTTGCTGCTACTGCTGCTGCTGTTGCTGGCTGCCAAAATGTTTATTTCTTCCCTTGAAGAAGACACATTTGTCCACACTCTTCCTTTCCTACCCCTTTCCTTCCTTATTTTCTTTTTCTTTCTATCGTTTACACACACACACACATACACATACACTTACACAAACATACATCCTGCCATTCATTCGTATCGTTCAACTTTTACACGGCTTCTAATACACGCACGTACGCATAAACATAGCCAATCAAAAATCGGTCTTATTCATTCTTCAGTTTCACCCTTTAAAACCATTTCCCTTCTCTCCTTTACACTCTACCCCCTCGTCTAATCGTCGATGTTAACTTTTTTCTCCTTCTTTTTTTTTATTTTTATGCTGTCTTATATAGCGCGCTTTATTTCATAGGCGTGTGTGTGTTTATTTGAATGTATGTGTATGTATGTATGTATGTTTTATATGTTCCTCATCACGGGTAGTAAATAGCACTACTACTCTTTTTTGTTACATATTTATTTATTTATTTATTTATTTATATCTTTACTTATTTATCCTTGTAATGCATTTGTGTTTCTGTGTATGTGTGTATGTATATATATATATATATATGTATATATGTTGCGTATCTTTATCATTATTATATTATTTTCGATTGCGTAGTAAATATTCTTTTTTATTTTTTTGCTTTTTTTCTTATTTTTTTTCTTTTTCTTGGTAATTAATATTATTATTATTATTATTTATTATTATTTTACGTTTCGCTATGTATTATTTTTATTTTTTTATTTAATTTAAAACAATTTTTCCCTAGTATCGTACATTCACGAATTAACATTGAACGATTCCGCTCCTTGGTACTCGGCCAAATATTTTTCATTCTTCATATCATCGTGTTTTTATTTTGTTTTATTATAGATTTATCATCATCGATATCACCAGTATCGTCTAAAATTATTTTATCGCCACGAATGATCGTCTCATCCATTGGAAAGATTCGCATATCCACATCTCATTTTCATTCATTCATTCACTCTAATTTTCTCTCTTGCGTTATTTCGTTTCGTTTCGTTTCGTTTCTTTCGTATTTTTACTCGCCATCCACCACCTGCTGCTCCTGATCCTCTTCTTCCTTTGCCTCCTTGACGTCCTTCTCCTCCTCTAGAATACGATATTATGCAGTGTAAACAAGAGAGCTATCGTCTAGGGCAAGGGTCGGCAACCTTTTGAATCGGAAGAGCCAAAAATTACAGTTTACAACATTTTTTAAAGAGCCACCAAATTTTTTTCTTGCCAACAATAAATAGTACTTGCATAAATGAAGTTAGTATTTTGATAAAAAAAAAACTAATCTATTTATTCATCGGTGTCTAATCCTCGTTAATCGATTCAGCTAAAGAGCCGCATGAGGCTCGCGAACCGCAGGTTGCAGACCCCTGGTCTAGGGATCAGGATTTAATTATTATATTCTTTTTTTTTATTTTAAATAACTATATTAATTTTAGAAAAAAAAAATTTAGGAAACATATTGAGCTTTAATCCTTTAAACGCGTATTAAAAAAAAAAGAAAAGAAAAAAATAGTAGCGTACAAAAGAAATATCTTTTATTTTTATTGTCAAATGTTTTATCATCAAATTTATTATAAGTCAAAATAAGTAAACAAAAAATTTGTTATAAGCTCTTTTAAATGTTTAATATAAAAAGTTGTAATATAAAAATACGAAATGATAACGGACTGGAGTTAAAACTTGTAACTTAAATCTACACAGCCTTTTTTATTTTTATTTCGTCAACAACATTTAGGAATTCAATTACATGATTGTTCAGTACATTATAGGATACCAATACGACAATGATTAAATGATTCATTCATTTCATTTTCAATTAAAGAAAACGAAGAAGAAATTAATAATGCAATTATGCATTAGATGTTAGTCCTTCATTCGTAATTATAATTTCAATTAACAATTTATTCTTGTGTGATATCGAATAAAAACAAACAGTCCGATCAGTCATTTCGTATTTTTCGTATGTTTGTTGAGTTAAGAGAAAAAAGTAACGGATAAGGGTAAAGGGGTGTAAGGGGTAATGGGTCACACATAATTGCGTTATACTTTTTAAAGATTTAAGAAAAAAAAAAGAAAAAAGAAACATGTGTGCAGATTACACGTGTTAGAAGTGAAATCTTCAAAAAACTAAGTTTCGAGAGGAGAATGAGACGAATACAAAATATCTGCTGTAGGATAATTGTATTCTCTTCTTATTTAGTATCTTGGTCGTTTCATTGCCTCTCACCGCTCCGTTACATTTTTTCAAATTACACCCATTCTAAAGAAATTTTCACTTCAAAAATAAAAAGAAAAGTATAAGGATATTTTCTTTGAGTATTTCAAATCGAACATATGAGATCTTACTCTTGTTGTAACATAACATAACATAAAATATTAAATAATACATAAGTAATGTAATTAATTCATATAAATTAATATACAAGTTAATTATATTATTTATATATTACTAATAAATAATTAATAATAAGTTGTTATATATCAACGTTAAAAGGAAGAAACAAATAGCTAATATTCCTTGAATGGAGATAAATTTAAAACATAAAATTTGAAAAATTCCCCCATAGTATGAAGATGTACTTCTGAAGAGGATGTTTTGACATTTTTCGCGTGCTTTTTTTTTTTTTTTTTTGAAAGATATTAAATATAATTAATAAATAACGTCCTGTGAAAATGGACAGTTAAAGCGAAATTTTTACGCAAAATAGATGTGCCATAAACATTTTGAAAAATGATTCTTATATATCTGTCACCGATACAAAGGAATAATATTAATGTTTTATTATTATTATTATTATTTTTTATTGTTAATCCTATTTTACTATGATGATATTATTAATATTATCATTATCATCATTTAACTATTTACACAAAGAGACCAACAAGACAGATGCTTAGTATTAAATATACGATGTGTTTTTACTTATCAAGATTTACACAAGATAAAAATGATAGGGATATATCATTGTTTTGTGCAAATTATCTTTTTCTTAAATCGTGGTCTAAATATTTATATATATATATATATTAAAAGAAACGTCACAACGACGCTTTTAATCGTCTAACGCGACACACACCACACACGCGGTTTTATTTTAATTCATTTCATACGATTGATATTTGTATTTATTTATAATTTATTTTTGTTCATTCCGATTAATCCGTTGCATAATGTGTGCTCTTTTAGGAAAGTAGCGAACATAAATAAATTATTATTATTATTATGATTATGATTATTATTATTATTATTATGGAATTATTGGTACCGGTTCTGTTCCATCTTTCTTCATTTTTCTTTCCTTATTTTTCTTGATTTTGTTTTATACTTTTTACTTTCTTATCCTTTCATTCATATTTTTTGAGATTCGTCTCTAACCTCGGATATACTTTCTTGCTTGACTTTTCTTTTTTTTAATTATTTTTTTCTTGAATTACTTATTATTATTATTTACTACAAAAGCGTGAAAACGTTTAGTGGACAGATTTGTCAATGCAAAAGTGAAAAGCCTATAAATATATGAAATCTTTTTAGTTTTGATAGAAAAAACCCATTAGAATGTCTACATTTTTCTTTCTCAAATTTTTCCTCCTATTTTCTCTTTTTTAACGTGTTTTTTTTTTTTCATATTTTTATGAGCATCAGTATGACTCTCAAAACTGCATTAAGGATTTACATATATATATAAACACGTTTCGAAAATTTATATTGAGGATTATCTCGGTTATTTTCAAAGTATCTAGGATCACGATCATTATTACTATTATTAGTTATTATTATTATCATCATTATTATTACCATCATCAGCATTATTAATTATTAATTACGTGCATACGATTTGCAGATGAGTGAAGCACGAAAGTTGAATATGAATGAAATGAAGATATGTTTTCAATTTGAAGTTCAATTAAAATAAATTTTAACATTAGCCAAAAATATGATGACGTGACGACGATAATGAAGATGATAAAAAATAATAATAATAATAATAAAAATAATAATAATAATAATAATACAACGATAAGAGATGCAACAGTAAAAAATCAAATAATTAATCAATCAATCAATCGAGAAATATAATCGACGATTAGAATAATAATACGAGAACATTAACAACGAACAAACCAACTACAAATCGAGATAATTAACTTACTATACATGTATA